AGTTTGAGCAAACGCTTTGGTTTTTCGTCCGGTGTAAAAATGTTTTTCACTGGTAAAAATTCTCGACTATAAATTTAAACTGCTTTACTTGAGAATTACTTTTAATAAATATATTCTTTTTTTTTGTTTTATATGTATTTTTTTATTCCGTCACCTGCCTGATACCGCCACTTTTTATAAATATTTGTCAGGTAATGTTCGAAGGAATAAAGATTTTTGACAATAATTTGGATTTTTTAAGCGATTCTGACAAACAACTGTTTCTTTGGGAAGCCGCCATTAAAAATCAAAATTTTTATTAGTGCTTCGATCATTACCTCTCATCTATAGTAAAAATAATTATTTTTTTTTGGTTTTGGAATTTGAGATAATTTTAATTAAGTAAAAATCTTCCTCACCGCTAGAAACTCGTTTTTGGAGGTTTTCCTAAGGGATCAAGCAAACCAAAAAGTTTCAAAATAAATCACGGATTATTAAAATAAATTCTCAAATAAAATTACTTTAAGAAAAAAAATTACGAAAACAGCGTGCAAGTGGATATAACCCCTTAATAGAATCACTATGTACCATAAACAAAGACCAACCTATATTTTTGAATACATTGACTTGTCAGTGCTACCCATCAAGAGGACTGTGCTACCAAATTGTGCGCTTAAAAAATTGAATTCGTTGGAAAATATGTATCTGTATCCGATTAATTTTTTACTTGAGCTTGCTTAATGCAAAAATAAAAACAAAATTGCTGTACTAAATATGAAATATATGTGTCTTTAGAAGTCAAAAAACTAGGAAGACTGATGAATGGTGATTTATTAAAAGAAAATTCACTGAGATTGCTTGTCACGAACGATAGCTAATAAAAAAGTTCTATAATACTAGCTTTTAACTTGAACTTACTGTAGAGCCATGTTCCATCGACAGAGTGTTTACGCATCCTCTCTTATCTATAAATACAAAATTCATCAAAAAATCATTGATTTGAAATAAATTTATTAAGTACCACCAAAGTCACTGTAATCACTGATGGGTTAATGTAAAACAAATCATCCCCACTATTCAGAGTTGATTATGTGAGCACGTGAAAACAAAGCGCATAAGTTGAGAATAATTCCCAAATGCTTCATTCTTCGTTACGATTTTGTTTGCTTATGCCTACCGCGTCAATGATTGCCTTTGAGCGTAGAAGACCATAGGTAAAGGTATAGCGGAATTAAAATATATTTATGTAGCTAGATATGTATGTATGTGCAGCCAAATGCTGAGCATGCGCAAACGTACTTGTCGCGTTATTTGCCTTCTTTACCTTTCTTATTTTCTTTTTTGTTATTTTTTATGTTTTTTACTTGACGTTTCTGCTCTCCACCGTTATGTATATATATGTACATATTGAATTTTCTTCTTTTTTCGACTGCTTTAATTTTACTCACAGCTGTCTGCCGCTAGAATATTTTAATTGAATTATGGCATATACTTAGTTATATATACATATAGTTATAAGTATATGTATTTGTATGTTTGTATATATTTTTGTTGTTTTTACTTGCAGTCACGGTTGCGGTATTTACTTGTGTTCTGCCAAGACAGTAATGACAGATTATTTTTAATAAGAGATGTCAATTTGTGTTTGCAATACAACTGACGTTTTTAATTAATTTGTACACAAGCAGACATGCACAAGTATACATATACCGTAAAATTGAATAAATTTACTTAAACTTAAATAGATATACATACGTATATAATATATAAGTATATGTATTTTATGTGCTTGTATATACTCATATCTATATATTTACTACATACAAGTATATCAATAAAGATGTATGTATGTATGTAAATGTTATAGTGCTGTAAAGAAAATATAAAATGAGAAACAAAAGTATGACACATACATAATGATTTGCAAACAAAAAACTTGAATTTTCTTTTTCGCACGGTACTCTGAAAAAAACAGTAAATTTCCTACCAAAGTATGAGCTTTGCAATTTAAAATGATTTTTTTTCATAGAGTTATAAAATTGAAAAAAAAAATTGTCTTATAATAATAATCAGACTTCAGCCGTTAATATATTTGAAACGGTTAGATTTACGAAAAAATCGTAAGACACCGTTTTGTAGAGCATTCAATTTCCTACAAAATACATAAAACGAGATATTTTTTCAAGTAGTTGGAAGCGTGATATGAGTTTTCCATTTGATAATAAAAAAAAAGTAGAAAACTTTAAGGCGAAATACCTTGCCGTTAGAATTAAGAGCTCATATTTGGAGAGATGTTCAGAAAACGAAAAAAAATTAAATGTTTTGACCCACCCTACACTTGTACATATAATACGAGTATGAACATGTGGTTAATGCTAACCTCTATTTGCGCTGTGATTTGCAGTATTTTCGCTCTTAATGTTGAAGTTGCACATTTGAGAGCAAATAAAAAGCATATCCATGAGCTACTGAAATGAACTGCAACACTGAAATGCTTTTTGGAAATATTTTACTACTATTTGAAAGGTTATGATAATTTTTCATTAAGAAAAAATGTATTCAGAGGTTTGACATTATCTGTTCTGCAGCCCTTATATACATGTACATAAATTTTCATCTGATAGCATTTTTCAAATCAGACACGCCTACAATCACATTACCGCTTTTAACGTTTCTTTTTTCGTTTTAGGCTGTGGCCTTTTCTACGTTGCCTCTTCTCATTCTACTTGTATAGTCAAAGACATCAACGGTATATTGGATATTGCAATCTTGTTTTCTATTATTCTTGATTTCTGACATACCATTGGGTTTCCAATTTAAGTTGGTTCAATTTCTATTTTCAAATACAGTCATTGATATTCACTCATACGATATATTGAATAATACAGTTTAGAAGCAGCAAAGCTAAGTAACTAACACAATTTCTTTGAATCTTAACCACTTTACAAACAGCTTAAGTGATTAAATTCTTGCCCACAAAGTTTTTCAAAATAATCAAGAAGATTTTATCACGACGTTAACTGACTTGACCGGTTCACGGGTTCCTCGATCATTATCACGTTTTCCGCTCAAGCGGTTTGCGATGTTTTTTAAATCACGCCGAAGCGGTATTTTGTTTGTTAGATATAAGTTAAGTTTATTGCCTCGATAGCGGATCCATATTGTCGAGCATTTAAGTTGCTTATAATTGGTTCTGACAAGTTGTTTTGGAGGACCTTGTTCCAGCTCTGTGCTCGCTCATTGTATTGTATACTCTGCGTAGAAGTCGACTCAATGTCCCAATTCTTACGCTAAGCGCCAGTTTAGTCTGACAATAGATTTGGAAGAAAAGACTATAAATTAAACCTTGTTCGAATTCTTCAGAATGAACATCATATCTAAGCACAACTCTAACTTTTATGCGACCTTCACCTCTTGGGACCTCCTGGTTTCAGTATCAGATTACAAACTTCGTCCGCACCATTGGACTTCGACGGAATTTCGTTCTTAATAATTTGCTAATTTGCTCAAAGTGAAAGTCTTTAATTTATCCGTATTTGTAATATTCAGTTATTACTGTAGGTGTTCTATTTTATTTTTCATATTTGTATTTACACTTATTTATTTATAAAATATAAAAATCTTTCTATAAATATCATTTACAAAAAAACAAATCATTAATAATCTAAATTAATTTTATATTTTCAGGATTTCTGCAGTTCTTGTGGTGGTTTCGCATAAAGGTAACATTTTATTGTTGTAATATTGCTGAGAACATTTGTGGAGTTGTAAACCTTACAGATGTGAGTAGTAACGTTTTTTCTTCTTTGTCACAAAAAACCCAATTGTTTCACAGAACTTACTTATTAGAACTTGTTCTAAGGTAAATTTCGGTAGACCCGGAGTAACTTGTTTCGTTAAGAGGGTTTTGCCTGACATTTTTTTGTTGATTACAATTACCACATTATGAGCACTTCGCAATTGTATTATCATGTCTTTTATGATTAATTAAAATTTAAAAAATAAGAAATATCTGGCAGCATACTGTCAGTGACAATCAGCTGTTGCTAATGAAAATAAACTTGGCCACACTTTACACAATAAATTATATATTCTAAATTAAAATAATATCAGAATAAATTCGGGAACATATTTTAACCGTTTCACAATGTAAGATTAAAATGAATATATATTTCAAGCAGCTTAAGGGCAATACTTAGCCAGAAATATAAAAAAAATTTTTTTTTCACGATTTCGATAGGTTATACCTTTAAAAACCACATACTCAAATTTTAAATAGATATCTCAAATAGTTTTTGAGTTACAGGCGCTCTGCTAAAGTCGCTCAGTTCGCATCAACTCTATCAGTTTATCCTAAACACGTTTTGCGCGAAAAAGGATTATTAAAAATTGCTTGATCTAACACATCTCTAACACTTTTTTCTACATGTTCTGTGTACAGTCTGTATAAAATTACCCATCAGTGTTTAGATCTGATCAAAACTCGAATTTTTCCAAATCAAAAACAACCAAAATTTCCGATAGAATTCGACTTTTTTGTAAGGCGCTAACATTTAGTCGATTTTTAATTTTTTTCGACCGATAGTAATGTACGTACAATATCTTCTAGTAGGGAATTGGTTTCTGGGCTTCATCCAAGGACAAGACCGGAATTACCGCAGCAATGAATGACGGATTTTTAGCGCCGTCAGATATCACATGTAACTCAAACAATATTTAGTTTTACTGTGTAGTTTTAACATACCTATAAATATACCCTTAAAGTTTAATTGATTTTTTAGATTTCATTCACAGAACTGTCATTATGGAGTGCTAAATTCACTCTTTTTTAAAAGAGAAATAATTCAAATTTAGTTACAGCCATGTGGCAACGCTAACAAGCGGTTGACTTAATTATTTTATTGATAACAATATAATTACAAAGAAAAGAAAATTTACTTGAACAGAAAACACTTTATAATTTTCTTTACAATAAGCAACAAAGTCACATAAGAACAACAATTCTTCATATTCAATAGTAAATTATTTTAAAATGTTTTACACGCCGTACATTTATTTACGCACAGCTGGTTAAATCAACCGCACGCAACAGTTTGAGAGCTGTGGTATGTACATTACACACTGTGCTGTATAAACAATTCGCAACAGCTATTCACCTCTTTCGCACACACGCTTACAGGCTTTGAAAACAACCACCACTAAATGTCACAGCAAACAGATAAGGGCAAAGAATTCCCAACTACTGTCTGTTTTTTCAGTTGACAAGCGCGTCGTGAATTTTTGTGTAGTTTTCGTTTATTCTCCGTTAAAATTTCGTGTTTTCAACAAAATAACGCCATTAAAATTGTGTAAAATTAGTGTGAGTGAAAATTCGGGGTGAAAAATATGCGTTACCGTTGAAAAATTGTGAAAAACAACGCACGTGGGCGTTAAAAACAAGAAAATCAACTGTGGCTGATTGGAGTGAGGCGGCTTTTCCAATTGGTAACGTTCCCACTGGCGGTGCGTGTTTGTGCATGTGTGTGCAGGCGAGCGCCTGTTTTTGACAGCTAACAAAAATCGATTTGTTTACATATGAATTATAAAGAATTTGTAGCATTTTTATTCAAGCCAAAGTGATTTGATGAAAGCTTGCAAGCTTCTAAGTTTACGAAAATGCATAGAAGTGTAGCGCTAATAAAAATTTCGCTAAATAACGGCGCTCAACCGGCCCATTGTGTTGTTTTTGTCTAGTGACTGCTAACCTTAGCCGGCACAGCGGAGCCACTTTGCGACGCTGACTGCGACTGCGACGTAAACGTCTGCCTTTGTTTGTGTGTAATTGCTGCCGTTTGGTTAAAATTGTAATTACAATCAGTGAATGCAGTTAAATTCTGCTATTGCAGCGTTTTTTGCAAGAATGCTGCTAAATTTTAGTGTAATATATTAAAAAGCCGCCAGCTTAGTGTACGAAACGAGTTTCAACTCGCAATTTGTTGCGTTGACGCCTTTGGTCAGCACCAAAACAAAAGTTACCTGGAGTGTGGATCCAAAGAAGTGCGAGTTGTGCGTGGGTGGGTGTACTGCCGCCACCAAGTCGCATACGCTATACATACATATGTACCTAGTGTTGTGCAAGATAAAATGCTGAAAATAGTATCGAATAGGCAATTTAATAAAACCAGTTTGATAAAGTATCGCTCGGCAGCGAATTTTCTGTTTTCAGTTTGTGCCACTGCGCCCCTTTTAGTGTGTTAAATACATTAAATCTGTGGTTTATCAAAATAAAACACCACCGTAAGTGTAGCGCGCGTTTTGTGTAAAATTTATACATTTAAAGCACTTACTCGCAGCCTACGCGTTACATACTTAAGCTCGTATGTATGTTATATGGTAGGCACAAATCCTCAGTGTTAACATTTTTTGAGGATTATGCTTTGTGTTGTATCAATGCCGGTTGTGTTCTACGTTTGCTGCAGCAATATATTTTGATTATTAAAAAGGTATGTAGGTATAATCATATGTACTTTGGTGGCATAAATATGTTTCCACATAACAAAATAATAGTGTTTATGTTTAATACCCCGTGATCTACTTCCAACAATGGCCATTAGAATCAAAAGCAAACATTCCCTGATAGCACTGCACCCGTTGTTCAAGTAATAATATGTACATTATCTTATCAGTTTTTAAATAACTAAACTACTTTTAAAAGTGTCTGCCACTAAAAATAATAAACAAAAACAAGTAAGAACCTTTACATCGGCTGCACTGAAGCTGAAATATCCTTCTCAGGTGCTATATTTTATAATAGTCCGATCTGAAAAATTTGTTCGGATTTTGTGGCGTTGCGTCAGACAATAGTCTAAACTAAATTTCGTGATCATATTTTATCAAATAAAAAAGTTTTCTGAACAAAAACTTGATTTCTCAATTTGCATAGAAGGTATATGGTAAGCATGCCGATTTGAACAATATGCTTAGAAATTGTATCTTTGGTTTTGAAAATAATCTACGCAGAATTTCGTAAAAATGCCTTCTTCTGGGTGCCACAAATTTCGTGGCAAACTTAATACATATATATACAGGGTATAATTATCACATAGTGTATATAGGCACCGTTATATTATTTTATAATCTAATATTATTACACCAGGAAATAGTTTATCTCTCAAAATTATCAAATAATAACTAAAATTATAAATGTCGAATTATAATTATAGTTATAACCCATAAATATAAATAAATGTCCGTAGATATGTATGTTTGCAGTGTATTGAAATAATAATCTGTCATTAGACTGCGTATTACTAATAATTTTTGCAATTTATGCAAATGATATGTCATACAATTCTAATTGACATTTCTCCCATAAACATTTGGTATACGTATATATGTACATGTACATGTACATATGTATGTATGTATTTACTTTAGTGCTACCAAATATTATCTAAATTTAAATCAAAATTTAATATTCAAATCTAACCGCATTGGTTAAATTTAAATTATAGAATCGACCACTCAATTAAAATAAATTTCATTCACTGCCACAAAAAATTACGTGCATTAAATACAGTTTCCATTTTTACTCATCTTCAATTACATATTCGTGGTCAGATTTCGGTGTACCGTCAATAAATTTAAAATGAAAGTAAAAATATAGCTATTGAAAAATTATGAAAAATATTAAATCAATTCAGATATAAATTGGTTGGATATATGATATACCTACAAACAAATGTGTTCAACCATTTTTTTCGCATATTTCTTGTTGCTCAATTTATGTTTCTATTTATTATTGCAAAAAAGTACTCTCACTAATTATGCAAACAGATATAAAACTACATAAAAAAAAATTAAAAAAAATAAAAATATAAAATTTTTTATTTTGTTAGTGATATTAAATGCTAGTATAGCATCAAGTTTAATTAATTAAAATTTGTATAATTTTCAAACTTTGATATCGTTCCGAATAAGCTTGTCAAAAGTGTCTTTGTGTGAAGGAGATTAATTATTTCGTATTCAAAACCAACACGATTTAGTTTTTTTCTGTCAATAATTTAACGTCTTCAGCTATCAGGCCTACTTATTTATGTTTAAGTCTCGAACGGTGACTCTATGCTCCTTCCATTAGTAACGGAAACATACAATAGGTATAACAAATCAGACGGGTAAGATATTGAAATAATCGAGTATAAGAATAATGCTAAAATTAAGTCTAATGAACTAGTCGATTAGCTCCAAATTTCTCAAAAATTGAGAGACTAGTTCGCGTATATACAGACGGATATGGCTAAAACAACTCAGCTCATCATGCTGATCATTTATGTATATATATTTTATAGGGTCCCCGACGTTTCCTTCTGTTTAGCCTAGTTTAGCCAAAACTTGGTCGGTTTCTGAAGAAAAAATTTGATAGTGATCGTATATTTGTCTTCGAGCAAATTCGAATATACTGTTTCGAGAAACACGGACTTACAGATAAACGGATGGAACTGATTGAACTAGTCGGCTAACTTTTCGAAGCCTGTAACTCAAAAAATATTTGAAATATTAATTTAAAATTTTATTATCGTATTTTTATAGGTATAGACTACTCAAATATGTAAAATATAAAGAAATAAATTATTTCAAAATTTGACATTAGGTGTGCTTCTTAAATTTGTAAAATTGACTCAGCTCGTAATGCTGATTATTAATACACATATATATTAATATAATATATAATCAATTTTCATATCCGTCTGTAGTGTAGTCTAGTAACTAGTCCCTCAGTTTTTGAGATATCGGTCTGAAATTTTCACACGTATTTTTCTTTCCAAGAAGCCGCTCATTTGTCGGAACAGCAGATATCGGGGACCACTATAGCACATAGCTGCATGCAAACTGAATGATCAGAATAAAGTGCTTGTATGGAAAGCTTTTTTTGACGAGATATCCTCACAAATATATATATTGTAAGGTCTCTGACGTTTCCTTCTAGGTGTTACAAACTTCGTAGCAAATTTAATATACTCTGTTCAGGGTATATGTTGAATATGTTTATATTATATAATATTACTCCTAAGTAAATTATGAATAATGTATTTTTCGTCCGCTTTTTATATTGGCATCTTCAAAGACATCTTTTATTAAACTCAACAAGAAATCAGCCTTTGGCAAAGTAAATTCGAAGCCCGTATAGAAACATCACCTAATAAGCCCCGTCTGCTACAAAATGATATTTGCATAAATTACGGTTATTCCCTGTAACTTGGTAAATAAAAACTGATTGCACATAATAAACTAATGAACAACCAACTTTATTATTTTTACAAATAAACCCTTTTTGTGGAAGACAAGAATAAGCGATAAGAATTTGCCACAACAATTAGTTGCAGAAATCAATTGAGCGCAAAATCGAAATGCGATGAAAATGTAAACATCATTAAGCACACACACATACATACACACATACATACACATACATACATACATACACACATACATAAAAGAGTATGATAAAAGTAAGAATTTAATACATGAAAAGCATATCAAGTAACAAAAAGGAGCAACATAATAAATATGTAAGAGTGGCAAAAGACAAATAACAATACCCATAACAAATATGTGCATATAAACATACATACCTGTGTATGTGTTTGCAACAATACAATGAACTGGAAAATAAGAAAGAGTGCACGCACAAGCCAGTGTCTGCAGACAAGCCGAGTGAATTAAAATGCGGCAACTCATGGTACAGCTGTGCACATTTCCCCAGCAAATTGGGCTGCTTTGTTGTTGTTGTCATTGTTTTTTTCAGTGGTGCACTGGCTACTTGCTCGACTACGTTACTTTCTTACTTTTCCTCTGACCATTGACGAAGTTCCGGTCTGGTAATTGCAAGCAAGTGTGGAAAGCAAATATGAGACGTTGCAGGCAGGAGATCCTTATAAATATTTTCACCATTTATATATAACATTTCTGTTTACTCTGAGATGGCGAGTGCGAAGTTTAAAGCTTTAATTTTTTCTTTTCTGTGTCGAAAGGGTAATTTTTGTGGGATTCTAGTTGACTGAGAGAACTTTCGCGACGATGCACATTTGGTTCAATATTCCACAATGACCCTGAATATACTCCAAACATTCATATTGTATCTCAAGGATTGTATCTCAAAGCTTGTTCGATATAAAGCCGGGATATGTATACCTCGCACAAATGGCTAGTTTTCGTCATCAGCAAAATTTTTTGTAATATCCTAATCAGATTTCATATTTTTAGACGTAATTATGTTATGAGTAAAAGACAGAGCTCTGCAGATACTCTCATCGTCTTCTATAAACTAGATCACTCGATCACGTATGACAGAAATTAACTCTTTGCCTTTGTTCGGTCCTTCCCTATGGTCCACCTCAGCGGCAAAGCACTTTTCCTGGGTCTACCGTTAAATAACTTTGATCACAAATCGTTCACTTTTTCTAAAAAAAAATTTTAAATAACCGCTACAACGACAACCCTATTTATTTACTTACACTCTTGTCTTAGTCAGTTCTTAACCAGATATATATCACATAAATCCGGAGTAATTGTGTCTACACAGACTTGACTATTTCCGTTCCCACAACAGCGGGTCTACTTAACCGGCACGGACCTGGATTTTTATCCGACGAAGGACTGTCAACTCGCCAGCATTTCTCCAAATTACTTAAGGGATTTGTCGTTTGTCTTATGGATCTTTGCAGATATTCTGTCTCCGGTTCATTTAGTCATACCAACTTGTTTATTTTGAGAGAAAAGACTCCTATTTTTCGTTTGAACTAGTGGTCAAAGGGTTGAGAAAAAGCTCACATTCGTTCCTATAGACAGAAAACCAGTCGAGATTCGCAGGCTACTCTTGAGCGAGTTTTTCACCACCATTCGCCATAAAAAAGAACAGGTAGTCATTATTAGTTCAGGTTAATGCATAAGAACTTCGCTCGCTAGCGAAGCTTTCGGCGAGCCGCTATCGATGTCTGTGGTCTGTCATTGTCCTGCTGGAAAACAATTCCTCCCCTATTGACCAACGCCGGCACTATCTGGGCTTCCTTCAAACCGTCTAATTATTGATACGGTCGCCGCTTGTAGTAGATGATTACCGGCTAGTCTCACCAAACACATAGCAAAACCTTTCTGACTGTCAATCCATAGCATAGCCAGCGTTTGCGCGGTACACTGCGTTTCGAGCACGATTGACTTCCATCAGCAGAAACCATCATTCGCTTCTAAATTCGATCGATTTTGTTGCGATTCAGCAGCGACTCGCAGATGGAAGTTCGATCCATGCCATAGAGACATGAATTTTAGGTAGTTTTTAAAATTAAAAAAAGCTAATCAATATATTTACTATCGATTTTTTATCAGTTATTTATTAATGTTAAAAAAGTACAGAAAAAAAATTTAAAAAAAGTTAAAATTTTAAAAAACTGGCAGCGGATGAAGATGATAATCATCTGAAATGAAAAAAAAAAGATTCTCAATCTGC